GGGGGGGGGGAGGGGAGGGCCAAGGTGGGAATCCGTGGGGGAGCCAGGTGGGTGGGTCTCCTCCGGCCGGGGGCCTTACCTGCTGGGAAGCCGGGCCGGGCTGGGCGGAGGCCGAGGTGCGCAGCGCCACGGGGGTGGCCGAATTGGAGCCCTCCTCGGAAGTCTGCATGCTTGGCTCTGGGGGGGGGGGGGAGAAAATAATGGGGAGGGGTCACTTCGGCCTCTTTTGGGCCGAGAAGCCAGGATGACAAGGTTGAAAGCGGAAGGTTTGGGAGCAACTCACCAGCTCAACGATTTGAATCAATCATGATTACTTCAATAGTTCTCTCTCGCTCACTTCCTCTTTCTTCCTCTTTTTCTCTCTTCCTCTCCCTCTCCTTCTTTCCTCTCTCCCCCTCCTTTCCCTTTCTCTCCCTCCCTCCCTCTCTTCTGTCTCTTCATCTTGCCCCCTCTTTTCTCCCTCTCTCGCTTCCTCTTTCTCTCTGCCTCTCTTCTTTCTCTCCCTCTCGTTCCCTCTTTCCTCTCTCTCTCTCACTTCCTCATCCTTTTTCTCTCTTCCTCTTCCTCTCTCTCTCTCCCTCTCTTCTTTCTCTTCCTTAGTCTGTCTCCCTTACTGTTTCTCTCTCCATCCCTCTCTTCTTCTTTCTCTTCATCTCACTCTCTTTCTTCTCTCTCACTTCCTCTTTCTCCCTTTCTCTCCTTCTCTCTTCCTCTTGCTCCCTTTTCTCTTTCTCACTCCCTCTTTTTCTCTCTCTCCCTCCTTTATCTCTCTTCCTCTCCCTCTTTTCCTGTCTGTCCCTTTCTTTCCTTCCATTTTTCTCTCTATCCTCCTTTATCTGTCTCTCCCTTTCTTTCCTTTTCTCTCTCTTCCTCTTCTTCTTCCTCCCTTTCGTTCTTTCCTCTCTCCCTCTTTTCCTCTCTCAACTATGTCAGAATTAAAACCTTTAAAATTGTTCTTTTAATTTTTTAAATTTTATTTTAATACAAAAATCCATCTTCAGTTAAACAGGGTGTCTCCTGGGTACAAATATCCTGTGCAATAACAATTACAATTTACAGCCATATTCATTAAATTAGTATTAATTCTCTAGTCTTGGCTTAATACTGGTATGCATAATAAATCTAATACTGGTACAGCCCTCATCTTAATTTATTTCATTTTTGTTAGCATATTTTCTATAGCCCACTAATCTTTTCTTTCTAGCTTTCATGTTTATTCTCAAGCCATCCATAAAATAATTCCCATATCATATAATATATTCAGTTTGTTCCTTCTCTTTGATTGCAAGCGTTAGCCTATTCATTTCTGCACATTCTAATATTTTCCTGATCACAGTCTCTTCATTTTTTTCCAGTTTTGCGCAAATACAATTCTAGCTGCAGTTAATACCCGGATAATCAAATATACATTCTCTTTGCTATAAGTTTTGGATAAAATCCCCAACAGAAATATTTCGGGTTTAAAATCAATGTGCTGTTGTATCATTTTTTCCAACCGCGTCTGTATTTTTGTCCAATACTTTTTGGCTTCTACACATGTCTACCATGTGTAAAACTGTCGCACAACCGAGCAGAGCATTCCTTGGCCCAGGTGAAGCATTAACCCACCATTCTTTTCAGGAAAGGGGCCATCAATGTCGTGACATCCCCAAGAATACCGCGAGAACTATTTTTTGTCCAAAGGAAAGAGGATAATAAACATCATAATAAAACAGGGAGATTCTCTTGACAACCTTTTGATCTGCACAGGACCCAGGAACTACACGAGAAGGACGAGGGAGGCTTTTCAAAACTGAAATAGGAATTTGAAAAAGAGGCTTATTTTTTATCCAAGCCGAACCTTCCCTCCCCAGTTGCAAAGCCCGGGGCAACTTCTACACTCTTCGTGCCGGGAGAATAGCCCCATCCATCGGATTTCTGGATTCTATGCCTGATTAACAATCAATAACAATCAGAATGGAGCTGGAAGGGACCTTGGAGGTCTTCTAGTCCGACCCAAACTAATCCCACTCTGTAAAGTTGAGTAACACCACACCTAGAGTAGTGCATCCAGTTTTGGTCACCGCACTATAAAAAAAGATGTTGAGACTCTAGAAAAAGTGCAGAGAAGAGCAACCAGGAGGATGAGGGGACTGGAGGCTAAAACATACGACGAACGGTTGCAGGATCTGGGCCTGGCTGGTCTAGGGAAGAGAAGGACCAGGGGAGACAAGAGAGCATCTTCCAATATTTGAGGGGCTGCCCCAGAGAGGAGGAGGAAGGGGTCAAGCTATTTTCTAAAGCACCTGTAGGCCAGACAAGGAACAATGGGTGGAAACTGATCAGGGAGAGATTCAACCTGGAAATAAGGAGAAACTTTCTGACACGGAGAACCATCCACCCATGGAACAGAAGTTGCCTTCGGAAATTGTGGGAGCTTCATCCCTGGAAGCTTCCAAGAAGAGACTGGACTGCCATCGGTCAGAAATGGTGTAAGGATCTCCCGCTTGGGCAGGGAGGGCGGGGGGTTGGACTAGATGACCCACAAGGTCCCTTCCAATTCTGTGTTAAACCCCTGCTCAAGCAAGAAGGCCCTATATCATTCGAGACAAGTGGCTGTCCAGTCTCTTTGTCACAAGAATAAACCACCCACTGTCGGAGCACCCACAACGTCTGCAGGCGAGTTGTTCCGCTGAATAATTTGTCAGGAAATTTCCGGTTAGTTCTAAGGTGGCGTCTCTCCTGGTCTACAGATCCTAAGTTGGTACCCAGGACGAAAGTCATTTCTCCAGGAACTCGGCCTTAACTACCCCAGAGCGGAATATATAACCCTCAATACTAGCTGTTGGAAATTTGTCCCTTGAGTAAGTACGGAGCCCCCCCCCCCAAAAAGAGGTAGTTAGAATAACAATTGGAAGGGATCTTCGAGGTCTTCTAGCCCAACCCTTTCGCACAAGCAGGAGACCCCAGCTGACCCCACCCCCTTTCTTCGGGGCGGCCCCTCGTTTTGTGGCGAGGAGTCAGAGATAGGTGGCATCCGAATTTGAGGGAGGAGAAACGCCAGGCCGGCGGCCGAACTGCCCCGTGGGAATTCAGGAGCTGGCTAAGCGAAGGCCGCCTTGCAAACGGCCGGCATCATCGCGCCAGACACAAACTCCGGCAAGTGAGCACCGGTTGGGCGGATGGCGTCGCTAGCAACCGTCTGTTTACTCCGTTTCCAGGCAGAGAGCGTGAACGAGGGAAACCAGGCACTTCTTCGCAAAAGGGAGGAGAGAGAGAGAGGGAGAGAGGGAGGGGGGAAGGAAAGATGGAAGGAAAAGAAGAGAAAGGAGAGGAAAGGAAAGAGAGGAAAAGGAAAGAGGGGAAGGAAAGCAATGAAAGGGAAAGGAAAGAGGGGAAGGAAAGGAAAGGAATGAAAGGGAAAGGAAAGAGGGGAAGCAAAGGAATGAAAGGGAAGGGGAAGGAAAGAGGGGAAGGAAAGGAATGAAAGGGAAAGGAAAGGAAAGAGGGAAAGGAAAGGAAGGAAAGGGGAAGGAAAGGAAAGAGGGAAAGGAAAGGAATGAAAGGGGAAGGAAAGGAAAGAGGGAAAGGAAAGG